TTATTGCACTTACTCCACATTAGCTAACTTAAGAGTTTGTCACCAAAACAACTTATAAGTTTGTGTATTAAGTTATAACTGCCCTCATGTTTCATATCCAGATACTTTTGTATAGTTTTTGAACACACTGTTGATCCCGTCATATTTGCTTGCTTTCTTTAAAAGCATGTCATGCAGCAATGTTAAAATTACAAATTTCTACCAGAGCAGTGACTGCCAAAATCCAATCCACTGTACTTCAAATACTAACAAATAGGACAAATATTAAGAATCAAAGTTGGACGATTAATGAGGTCCTTACACAAGACAGCTGAAAAATAAGTAGTATGCATTGTTGCATCAGATAAAGAAACCTTCTGATTTAGGAGTAGAAACTGTAAAGGTGGTCACATTTAGGAATTAAACAACTTAATGCAAACAGGAAACTGCCTACTTGACATAAAAACAAACAAACAAACAAAAGAATAATCTACTGCTCCCCTAAGTACAGGCAGGTCTAGACCTCTGCATTACAGTTCTGCCAGGTGGCAGTTATTATGCTTGTGTTCATGTGCATATCATTTTTGTTTGATTTGGTAGGAAACACTTAAATAAGTCAAAATTTGAAAACCAACCACATGGTCACTAAAGAGAAAACAGCCTTCCACTTTTGCTTGCTTACACATTTCTCTTACTTGCCATCCAGCTTTTGACCATTCCATTTATGCCTGTGTAGTTCACATACAGGTTATGCACAGCAGTGTCTAACACTTAAGAAACCACACACTTTCTCCTGTTTGTAACAACATGCTTGCATCTTTATGAGCAAAAGAGAAAGGAAATCAGATGAAGAGGTAGAACACATTCTTTTCAATGGGAGGGGTAAACCTAATGCTCCTTTTCTCTGAGAAAAACCTGCTTTCTTTTCTATTTTCTGTCCCAGGAGATCAACAAAACAAGCAGCCAGCCTTCCATTATGTATTCAAAGGCAGCATCGGCTAACCTTTCTGTCTGATTCTGAGGTCAGGGTGGACGTTTGCATGTATGCATCCCTGCTCTGGATACTCACACTATTCTCAGGCATAGTAAGAGCTCAGAGAGAATTGCACAGTCCTGTTAGTAGAAATAAAGCAAAGAATTGCAGTGATTGACTCCCTCCTTCCCCTTCAAAGTGTTTTGCAAACACATAAAAAAGAAAAGTTTGGTTTCTTTTTGAAAGAAAAAGGAAATGAAGGTCAAAAGGAGCATAAAATCAGCCCTGCATGGAAAGGGCATTCATTAGCTTGCTCAAAAAGAACAAAAAATAAAAAGCAGCAACTACTTACTAGATACAAGAGAAACAGCAACAGCCTGTAGCTTCCAAAAGGGCCTTATCCAGGCTTATCGAGAATGTAAAATGTCTCCTGGAAAAAAAAAAAAAAAAGGCATGCTGGGGAAGGCTCCTATTTCAAAGAGGCAAGAGCAAAAAAGTTGCAGCAAAGCAACCAAGGCTCAGCTGTGGATAATTTTGGCAAGATGGAAGAGTTTGTCCTTCACCAGATGGCTACATATAAAGTAACATGGGTGTGACCCTAGCACAGAGGGGAGGGGAAAAAATAAGAAGGTTTTCTTGTAAGTTCTTGGCCTGAAATGAAACGTAGGCCTCTCTGACAATTGTGTTTTTTCTTCTAGGTGGTAGTTGACAGTTTTGGGTTAACTTCCATATGATGGGGAAGCAGATTAGAGAAAATGATCATTTCTCAGTTACTTTTGAGAATTTTGTTATTGTTGTTTGAGATTTTCAAAAATAAATATGGAGCCTGCGTTATGCTAATTCACATTGTAAAAAGCCTGTTTTTCAATAAGTTTGCATCTGTGTTCAGGTAACACTCTCATTTCTCCACTTGACTCACAAATTTTACACCCCTCTAATTCACTGAGGTGGAGACAATTATGTGCTTGCCACTATATTACGTGCTCTGGGACATGGGGTAGCAATGAAGAATCCCAGTCAGAGAGTTACCATCCTTGAAAAACCATTTCTATGCTATCCACTTTTCTCAACACAAAGTCTGGAGTCTAGCATATCAAATGGGAAAGGAAGGAAAAATCTTATTAGTGTTCTGACTCTGTATTTTCCCAAAAGAAATTCTGGCTATCAGGTACTCAGCTGATTCTTATAATGGAATTTGCTTGCCCTTGGAAGTTGTCCATTGATGAAAATTAAATAAATATGATATATGTGGACAAAATTGTTCTCCCCTGGCATAATAGAAATCTTAAAATATCTGAGATAGAAAGGCAGATTTGTCATGGTCTCAGAACAATGTCAAACACAAAAGCCTTTCTTCTGGTCCCATAGGTGGTTGCCCATTTTACTGATTGTATATCTTGTATCATGTAGCAGTCATGTAATGAGAACTTACTTTGGAATATAGTTGAAAAATGAAGCAGCATAGTTATGACTGCATTGATTTCTATACCTAAGTAATGAGGCAAATCTTGAAAATAAGGTTGGTGGATTTACTTAATATAGAAATCCCTGCCAATTTCCAATGTACTATCCAAGTATAAGCATATTAATTTAAACCTTAAAAAAACCCAAACAGCTGATTTATTCTTTCTTTCATGCATATGTTTTTGAGTATTTGAATATGTCTGCATCAAAAGAAACTAGATTTTTAGAGAGCCAGTTAGCTTACGTTGCCAAGTTAACGAGTTCTGGTAAGGTCAGTCTGTCACAATAAATCTAATTATTACACTGTTATTTTCTTTATGTATGCAGTTTTCACCATATGCTTTAAGATGGAAAGGGTAGTGGAACAATGCTGTTCTCTTGTATTTGCTGGTGACAGGCATTCTTACTTGCTCAAAGTGGGGGGAGCATTGTGACGGAAGCAGAGGACAGATGGACGTTTTTCAGTTGGTGCTTGTATGACCTATTTAATCTGCACAATTAGAAAATAAGAAAGTTGTCTATGACGCCGATGCTGACTTCATTTCTAGGTCTTTTTGAGCTCATTTAAAGTATGGTAATGAGAAAAACATTTTACCTTTGGGCAGCAATCTGATTTGTCAGGAAATTCCTCTTGCTATGATGGGTGGATGAGGAAAATTTGGAATAATATGATCCAGATGTTAAAGCTCCCATTTAGCAGCGATGCAGATGTATTATTTTATGGAATTGTCCAGATGGTGACCTTCCAGTATTAATAATGAATCGATACAGGGGTTTTCATCTGTATGACTTGATTCCTATCTTTGTCCTCATTTACATGACAAAATACTCATGCATTTCACGTAGAGGCTGATAATATTAAAATTAACAACATGGAAGACATAAAAAATCAATAAGGAAATCTGATACAATTATTGCAAACAATATATATCAATTGATCTGATAACACCATCACCCAAGAGCAGGTTATGATACCTTTTTTTTCATTTTGCAGCTAACACGATAACAAAGAGCTCTTGTAGATTTGTATTAGAACATAGGCACTTTACTGAAGATGTGTGCCCATTGAGTTTTGGCTTTGCCACTCAAATTCAGACTTTACTTTCAATTGACTGAAAAAAAGCAACCTGCAGTATGTAAGCGTATCGGGCAGGGATCACATTGGACAGTAGCAACGTAGGCAGGTGACAGGGAACCTCCTTTGGTGGCCTCTGATGAAGGCCAGGAGACCTCAGCCTGTGCATCCAGGGATGTGTAGGAACCACTGACTTGTGGCATACCAGAAGGGCTGCATGGCACGGAAGCAGCTCTGTCACTTTTATGGTCACAAGTAGCAGACTGTGGTCCCATAAAGCCAAGACTGTGGGGTGGAGAAATGCATAACAGTGATGTGATCTAATGATGCTGTGTGGTTATCTTTCTGTTAATTTATTTTAACTTATATTGTCAAATACCAGTTTGCTCAATGGTTGCATCCTTTCTGGGGTTTGAGGGGATTTTTTTTTTTTGGAGAGTTACTCCTTTTCCTTAAGAGAAGAATCTAGTCCTGCTTCAATTGAAATCTGTCAAAACTATGTAAGGGTTCACAAGGAGCAACACACATTCCTTCAGAATTCCATTTTTTGGGTTACAGAAAGAGATTCATCTTCTGTAGAAATAGCTTATTACTCTAGACGGATTGTGCTTTTTGTTTGATTTTAAAAATTCCCCCTGCACCAAATTTGAAAACTGTCTCCCTTCAGGTTTTTTTCTTTTCAGTAACATTTCTGTAAAGACGCAGGAGATAACTCTGCAAACACATATTAAAGTCAGTCTTGCTTTATCCTTGCTATCATCAGGCTTCCATGATCCCAAATCCATGGTTTATCAACGTGATCATGGAGAGAACTGGTATTATAGGGCTTTTGACTGTTCAGTGGGTTTCAAACATTTGCTTATTGGAAAAGAAGTAGAATATTTCCTCACTGCAGGTAATCTGAATAAACATACATCATTAAACTTGATATCATTCAATTTACAAAAAAGGCTTAAAAGTTTAAGCCACAGCATTTTGTTGTGCTGTAGAAAGAGTTCTTAAGAAAAACCTGTAGTAGTGTGGTCATGTGACTGAGCAGCATCTCAAATTAATGCAGCCGAATGTGCCTTTGAAAGTTCGTAAGAGCAGCTGTAAGGCTTAAAGGCCAAACTGCCTCCATCGATTTCAGAAAACTTGCTCCCGAAGCTTTAGACCTACAGTCACCATATATCATTTGAGTTCAAAAATAAACTTTAATGTCTTTTTCAATAGGATTAATTCTGTCAATAGACTGGTTCAGTTTTTGAGCATAGGATGTGGTGGTCTGATGAGTTGTATCTCAGTGTTACAACCATTTGCCACACTGGGTTTACTAATTATTTACAGGGTGCAAGGCAGACTAACACCGATATTCTAGGGCCAAAGGCCCTCCTCTGTGTCAGATGCTGTATAGTCACATTTTTTTGTATGAGTTTTAAAGTTTGGCAATCTGTTTAACAAACCTAACCGTGTGAAATGAAACCATAGGATGTCATTACTATGAAACGACTGTCTCAATTTTGCAAACAGTTTGTCACACTACTGGAGATGTGCATTGTTCCTCTTTGTTTTACCATCAGACTTTACTGGTGGTGATCCCTGTCCATGTGAGGAATTCTCTTAGTTATTACGTGTTACACCGCTTTCAGATCAACCCACAAGCTTCTCTCGGGAAGAACACCACAGGATGTCCTTTTTTGTTGGTTTTGCCTTGGCTTTGGGATTTTTTTGGTATTGTTTCTTAAAGGAAACCTGTAGAAGTAGAAGAGCAAATAAGAATTTCCCTGGAACAAATCTTCACAGATTATGAAAAGGGTGACAAGCAGTTGCATTTGAAGGAATCTTCCAACTGCAGTATAAATAAGTTCCTCGAAACCAGTGTTTGTCAAACACAACATGCAAATAAAAAAGTATTAAAAAAGAGTTAAAATTAAATTCATTCCATCAGTTCCATCTTGGTTTTTCATTCTTCAGACTCTTACCACCAGCAGTCATCCCAGCTGTTACTGAGGCTGAAGAGCTAGACTTAGTATATATACCAAATAGTCTGAATTTATCCCTCAGAGCCTCCTCTGCCTCCCTAAAGAGAGGTCTGTAGTCTTCCTTCTCCAGTCTTCTGATACCCTGGGCTTGCAAAGACAATTACTGTAGTGGTTCAGAGATTGCTTCTGCTAACTTTTAAGTATTTTAGACAAATTTAATTGGTGGTATACTAACCTGACTATATCTAACTTACCTCAGTTGTTTTTACCTGTTCTTGTCCTTTTCTGACCTATGTCTCCCTCCTTTACAATTCCCAACTGTTAGTTTTAATTATGTTAGCAATTTGTTCACAATTACCATTACACTTTTTTATTCACCTTTAAGTAAGGGAGAAATATGGAAGTGTAAAACTTCTATTTAATTTCTATGAATACTTCAGTAGAAGCTCCGTAGGTGGCATTTTGTGCCACTCTGCAAAATATACAAGGTCTCAAGCAGTTGTTCTTTTCTCTTATCCATAGGTTGATCTACAAATGGTTCCTCTTGATCTATAAACTGAGTTGTGCAATTGGAATTGTGGGTGATGTAGCCATAATATTTAGCATGCATGGATTTAATTTATTCTTTAGGTAGGTATCTTCAGGTAAAATGGGGATTGGCAACTGATTTCCTATTTGATAGATTTTACTTTGCAGTGAAATTGCTCCAGGCTGGTCTCTTCACTACCCACCCCAACATATGAAACCCGTTTTACGTTGTGTAGCTGTAGGTTCTCTTACTTCTTGATTTTTATTACTGCATAGTTGGCCTGAAGTTTGTTGTTTAGTCATCTTACAACTTGTGTTTGTGGTGTGAAGAGAGGAGGGGAAAAACCTTAAACTTCATACAACCACTGTGTTCACTCATTTAATCCCCTAATTAAACTGCTGAGTTAATCCTCAGTCTTTCATCACCTGAAGGAGATGAGACATAAAAAGTCTTGACGTAAAATATAAAAATAAATAAGCACATTCATATCAAAACCACAGTATAATTCTGATAATTATGATTTCCCACTCTACAAGTCTGTAATGTTGCTAGCGGGTTCTCCTCTTTTTATTTTGACTATTGCCAATGACAGTACTGTATGTCCAGATGATTCTTGACCTAACCTCTTAATCCAGCTAGACTTTTTGCCTGGGTAGGATTTGAATTTTCTTTATGTTTGTCCAGGATTGCTGTCTGACTAGCAGCCCACTCAGAGCTACTGTGCTGGACTCTGCTTGAGGCACCATCTGATCAGAAATTCCAGGGATTCCTCAAGAACATGTAGGTCAACTACATAATGCATCTGCTCTAAGTCCAACACTTCTTGGAGGTATTGGAGATACTGCATATATGTAAATCAGATGTTCCTTTAAGTGTCAGATTTATTGCCCATATATTGTATAGCTGATTAACCCAAAAGTACATAGCTCTGATGGCAAATTCTTGGCAGAAACTTTGCAGTTTTGTGTTACAGATACTGTTAAGCTTTATGCTGTTCAGGTATTTTGTTTAACCAGCTAAATTTCCCCATCAGTGTATTTTAAAGACATAACTACAAAATTTGTTAGCCCTGTTTTAAAGGATCTTACTTTGTCCCCTGGTCCAGCAGAAATGATAAATTCTTTTCAGTGTCGAGGAACTCCAGTTTTACAAGTATTTGGTAGCCAAGTTTCTGTCTCCCAAGACCTGTAAAACTTACAATCTCAGAGACACAACAAGAGATGTTAATATTTTTGCAGACTCCATTGGGTTGGGTTTTGGGGGGGTAGGGGGCTAAATACCACTTGCTGCAATTTAGCAAAGATTTTATGATGAGGAATTTGTATTCAGGAGGACAGTGGGCTTTTTCAGCTACAGAAACTTAACATTTCTTTGACTGGCATCTTACACCTTATTGAGATTTGGCTGCTCTTGTTGCTTCTGCAAAACAATTAAATATACCTAATTGTTCTGCAGAATAAGACACTAAGCAAAATCCCTTTCTATAAGAAAATGTATCAGCTTGGCCTTCCAATAACAGAGCTGAGTAGCTGTAGCTCCAAAAGCAGTTCATAGCCTACTTTCAACATTGCTTGCCATCAAGCATATTCAAGTATGAGGTTGTCTGCTGCTACAAAAGAAAATGAAACTAAACTTGTAGTTTAAAGGAAGCAGGAGCCAACGGGAGTAAAAATCTTCTTGATATTGTATTCTGGCATTTTGGTCAAGAACAGACTCACCTGAGTACTCTTCTGTTGTTTTATGATGGAATCAAGCCTGATGACTCCACAGATTTTGGTGTGATGCTGCTTTTTTACAGACTGTACTATGGAGCGATGGAAAGAGAATTTGCATACATTTGTTCCGACTACATAGCTTCCACCATTGGTGTAAGGGCTGGGGATCATCGTCCTGAATACCACTTGCAAGGACTGGGAGTGAGCTCTTGAATCTCTTGTGCCCCTCGGTTCGTGAGAATAAGGTCTACTGGATACTCTTGCAGTAAACTAAAGAGACTACAACATTGTCCTAGTTGCCATAGGAAGACAAGCTTTTTACTTCCCCGAAGTCCATGAAAGACTCTTCTTGCCCTTTCCTTTTTATAGCTCTTGTCTTTCCAAATAAGGTGATTACCTCAGCACAATTCTATTCTGTCCCAGTTACTTAAAATCAAGCAGACGGTTTCCTAAGTTCTTGTGTCAGCAATAAGATTTTAATTATTCTTGGTAACTCTGTGCATCTTGGCACTAGTAAACTAAGACAACTGTGGCCTTTTTCATGCTGTCCTTATCTCTGATGGCACTTAAAATGTGTTTATGCATCCTTGACTCTAAGCAAATATTTTGTTGTTCTTTGGCTTTTTTTCTTCCTGTAAGCTCAATCTTGATAGTTTTACAACATCAGTGGCATACCAACAAGAAATTTTTCCAATGACATCTGCGCAGTCTGCAGGCAGAATTTTTTTGTGCATATAAATGAAGAAGGGATCATTGAAAATACCTACCAGCTGTCCTGTAATCATGTGTATCCTTTCCATGTAATTATGGAGCTGTTGTTTTCTCCTCTTTTATGCCGCATTAGAAAATAATAACAACAGCAGTAAATACCAAGCAAAAAAGGAACCAAAACCACATTCAGAAACTACATAGCACAAAAGCAAAAATAGGAGCATGAAATATATTTCAGTTCTCTGACACAGATTGAGGCCACGCAGCTTTTTGACAGACAAACTGATGCAAGAATGGCTGTAACCCTACAGTTTCGGGCCTAAACCCACCTTCCAGGTACTTCATGCCCAGCCTGTGTGGGTGTGCCTGGACGTATGTTAGACCGGGCACGCTGACCCCTTGGTCAGGTGTGCTAATTCAGGCTCCTGTGCACTGCAGAAGATTTCCTCCAGCTGTGCCTGGGGCTGTGTTTTCTGGGTAGTTTTAAGGCAGATGTGGAACCCTTCTCAAAAGGTGGCATATAACCTGGCAGAAGACCCAGTGTCGCACACTCAGGGGTACCAAACAACTCCACATTTTGCATTCCGGAAGCCAAAAAGAAAGGTATCACATGCGTGCTGGAACATTGTTACTAATCACACTCTTCTGCAGTTCATCAAAGTCTCCTGGCTTCTTATGAGCTGGAAAATATGAATACCAGTCTGGATGTTCAGGACATTGGATTCAACTTTAAAATAATTCTAAATATTCTAAATATTTTAAGTAATTTGAAACCGCTCGTTTATAAAATAAGGCAGTATCATAATCAGTCATTAAAATTACCTGTTGATGGTTTCACTAGATTTGCAGATGTATGCACTGGGCTTTGTTTATATTTGAAAGATTCCTTAACAATACACCTGATACCAGGTTTCATGAATCCTGCATCCATGGTTGGTGCATTACTGGCAAGAAACAGACTTCCCCATACTTTGCTGAGACAGTTGATTTGAAGAGAATGCTGAGTAACCCATATATCCTCTCCTTAACAAGTGTGCTTTTGATTTGGATTTTCTAAACCGTATCTTGATTACGTACTAATACTTGTTTTGATCTGCAGTGGAGGGATGAGATGGCCACATTAAATAAATGGGAAACCAATTATTATTAAGGAAAAATTATACTTAGGGAAGATGATAGCTCTGTTTGGTTTTATCTTATCTAAGACCCCAAGCAAGCTAGAAAAGTGCATATATATTTTCCTCCTTGATTTTAAGACATCCAGAAATCATTTTTATAAGAAGAACATTTTAAAGAATGTAAAACACAGTTTTAGAAAGACCACGCAGTAGATTTTGCTCTTTAATGAAATAACAAAATTTATATAGTCCACTTTCAGAACAAGTGCTGGGTTTTACACCTTCTCTTAGTAGTTAGTAAACAACTTCTTCCTTTAGCAAATAAAATAATAGTTGAAGATCTGCTGCTGCATCTCTAGAAACCTGCTTGAGTGGAAGCAAAGTTTGGCTTACTTTTTTTTAAGCCTATTTTAATCATATGTAAGGAAGATATTTAAATGTAACCTTACCCCTACCAAAAAAAGGAAGTAAATTAGAAGAGTTGAAAAGCAGGCATTTCAAAATTTTCGGACAAGACTTTTTCTTTGATTCTGGCTAAGAAAAACACCAAGATTTACCTATTTTTGCATTTTCTCTCCAGTTTCCTTAACAACAGATTAGGTGGGAATGCACACGTATTGTATGGACAGCTTTTGGACTGGATCTGCTGTCTGGTGGCTTAGCAACTGGCTGCTATAAGCATTGTCCAAGGCATTAATTACTCACTGGATCTAGAATAGGATTCAGATTACTAGTGAGAATGCAAAGTGTTGGATACTTACCTGTCTACAATAATGTGCATATTCTGTACTTAATTTTAAAAGACAAGAGAAAATAGCAGTCGGTTGACTTCTGGTGTGCTATATACCCTTTTGCAGGATAGTGCCTCTTTTTGCATTACAGCAAGACTGTACAGCATGCTATTAAAGCATTTTTTTATTTTCTTAAAGTAAGTATTAAAAGAAATTGCTGCCTTTAATGGGATGATTGTGCTAGGAAAAAATAGGACTTATTTTCTTATTATGAATATACCTTAAAAAAATAGGAAAAGCAAATGCCAATATTCTAAGTTTGTTTCATTATTAAATATATTGGTAGTGCCTTCCAGTTGAAATTCGGACTAAAGAAAGTTGTGCAGCATATAAAGAGATTTTTAAGTCAGATAATGTCTTTGTATACAGCAAATTATCTAAAATGTCACCCAAAGAGTTCGTTCATTTTGTTAATGTAAGGCAACACAATATTACCATTAGCTTTTTTCCCCCTCACCTCTTTCAAAAGATGTTGTATTGTTACTCGTATACCTTCCAACGGCCATTCACAAAACGCTCTAACCATGGCAACGTTGATGGTGTGCTTGGTAGTCAGAGAGGTCTATATGTGGAGGTCCTATATTAAGCCCTCTTCAACTTACTGTCACCATGCTCAAGAGGCCCAACCTCCAATAACCAGCTTCTCAGACACAGGAAGATGAAATTGCGATCTCTAACCACCAATTCCTTATGTTGCTATTGCTTTAAAAAAACCCCAAACCCAACAAAAACCAGATCAAAATGGATGCATAAGTCTTGCTGCTTAGCAGCCGAATGTCTGACATCTATACTACACTGGCCACACTGAGAGGAACTGAAACACAGCGTGTTTAGGCCAGAACGGGCAGTTCTGCTTAGGAGTCAGAGAAGCTGATCTTAAAAGGTAATTAGCCTAGCTGAAGTAGTTTTTGAATGCAGATGAAATATGATCAGTATTTTAAGAATCTTTACATCGCTATTAGAAATCAGAGATACAGATCACCTTAATTTACACTTTAATATGTGTATGAGAATAAAGCAGAGACTGCATGAAGCCATCTACAGATGGTACGTGCCTGGAAATGTCCTACACTGCGCCTAAGCCCTGAACTGATCCAGTAGTTAGTTGTCCCTCTGGTCTACCAGATTCAAGCAGTTTGTGATCACCTGAAATGTCTTATGGCTGCAAAGCAGGTAACACCCAAGACACCCATTTCTTTTTAAATCACCTCTGAAGGAAGAGCCTGATGCCAGTGTCTCCTGTTTACTCCACTTTTTCAGAAGTTAGAGGCCTTGTCCCAGCAGTCTTCTCGAGAAAACATGGCTCCAGCTGACAGTAAACACAATGTCTGAGGTGGAATGCTCTCCACCCCCTCTGGTTTTGTGGACTATGTTTACAGAGAGAGCAGAAAGGCAGGAAACATGTTTTTCATGTCTGTGCTAAGGCTGCTGATCAGAGAGAGGAGTATGGTGCTGGGTTCAAAGACTATATATTAGTGTTTCCCACATTCTAGCTGAGAATGGCTCACACTCAATTCAAGCAAGACAGAACAGTGTTTGGACCCTACTCTGAAGCATCTATTCCCATATATGGTACAATTAAACTAGACAGAAATCATCCATAGCTGTCTTTCACCAAGAGAGTTGTCTGCCACAGAACATACGTGCTACAACAGCCAGCACTGCAATGTGAAAGTGCATTTTTACATTAAGCCTTGCCGCCACGATCCTCAGGAGACCTAGACATTTAACTAACAGTGATTGTGAAGTACTGCTGAGAATCAGTCCTTAGATCCACTAACTAGGAGAGCTAGGTCAAAAATCCTTGCTGCGTAAACTGAGTTTTATCGCATTTGATTAGAAGTGGTTTACACAAATGCATAAAAACCCTTGGCTAGGCAGGCTCTCTCCTAAAGCTTTTGCAAAGATAAAGATATATAAACTACATAGTTGCATATCTAAACATCTTTTCATCATTAAATATTTAAATTAAACAGCTTTTGCTAACATTGCTGATTAACGTATGTAGATGTTGTGGTTTAACAACACAAGTGATAGAGGAGCCAATGAGGAGGAGTGCCATGCTGGACCTTATGCTCACAGACAAGGAGGGGCTGGTGGGAAATATGAAGCTGAAGGGCAGCCTTGGCTGCAGTGACCATGAGATGGTGGAGTTCAAGATCCTTAGGGTGGCAAGGAAAGTGCACAGTAAGTTCACTACCCTGGACTTCAGGAGAGCAGACTTTGGCCCTTCAGGGGTCTGCTTGGTAGAGTACCATGGGATAAAGTCCTGGAGAGAAGAGGGACCCAAGAAAGTTGGTTAATATTCAAGGATCACCTCCTCCAAGCTCGGGAGTGATGCATCCCAACAAATGTCAGGAGGCCTGCATGGATGAACAAGGCCTGGACAAACTCAAACTCAAAAAGGAAGCCTACAGAGGGTGGAAGCAAGGACAGATAGCCTGGGAGGAATACCGAGAAATTGTCCAAGCAGCCAGGGTTCACATTAGGAAAACTAAGCCCTGGTGTAATTAAATCTGGCCAGGGACATCAAGGGCAAAAAGAAAAGCTTCTATACATATGTCAGTGATAAAAGGAAGACTAGGGAAAATGTGGGCCCTCTCTGGAAGGAAACAAGAGACCTGCTTACCTGGGATATGGAGGAGGCTGAAGTACTCAATGACTTTTTTGCTTCAGTCTTCACCAGCAAGGGCTCTAGCCGCACTGCTCAAGTCACAGAAGGCAAAAGCAGGGACTGGGAGAATGAGGAACCACCTACTGTAGGAGGAGACCAGGTTTGAGACCGTCTAAGGGACTTGAAGGTGTACAAGTCTATGGGACTTGATGAGATTCATCTGTGGGTCCTAAGAGAACTGGTGGATGAAGTTGCTAAGCCACTATTCATCATATTTGAGAAGTCATGGCTGTCCAGTGAAGTTCCAGCTGACTGGAAAAGGAGAAACATAACTCCCATTATTAAAAAGAGAAAAAAGGAAAACCCAGGGAACTACAGGCCAGTCAGTCTCACCTCTGTGCCTGGCAAGATCATGTAGCAGATCCTCCTGGAAACTCTGCTAAGGCACATGGAAAATAAGGACGTGATTGGTGACATCCAACATGGCTTCACTAAAGGCAAATCATATCTGACAAATTTGATGGCCTTCTATGACCGTGTTACAGTGTTGGTGGACTAGGGAAGAGCAACTGACATCATCTACCTGGACTTGTGCAAAGCATTTGACACTGTCCTGCATGACATCCTTGTCTCTAAATTGGGGAGACATGGATTTGACAGATGGACACTCAGTGGATAAGGAATTGGCTGGATGGCTGCTCTCAAAGAGTTGTGGTCAACAGCTTTATGTCCAAGTGGAAACCAGTGATGAGTGACATTCCTCCTCCTCTTATAGCAGCCTTCCAGTACCTAAAGGGGGCCTACAGGAAAGATGAGGAGGGATTCTTTACCAGGGAGGGCAGTGATAGGACGAGGGGGTAACAGGATTAAACTGAAAGAGGGTAGATTTAGATTAGATATTAGGAAGAAATTCTTTACTGTGAGGGTGGTGAGGCACTGGCACAGGTTGCCCAGAGAAGTTGTGGATGCCCCATCCCTGGAAATGTTAAGGCACGGCTGGTCTGGGCTTTGAGCAACCTGGTTTAGTGGAAAGTGTCCCTGCCCATGGCAGAGGGGTTTGGAACTAGATGAACTACACGGTCCCTTCCAGCTGCTTGCTCACTCCCCCTGCAGTGGGACAGGGGAAATAATCGGAAAGGTAAAAATGAGACAACTTGTGGGCTGAGATAAAGACAGTTCAAAAGATAAAGAAAAAGTTGCACACAAGCAAAGCAAAAATGAGGAATCCATTCACTACTTCCTGTCAGCAGGTGGATGTTTAGCCATTTCCATGAAAGCAGGGCTCTGTCACGCATAACAGTTGCTTAGGAAGACAAACAGTGTAACTCCAAACATCCTCCCTTCCTCTTTCTTTCCTGCAATTTTTATTGCTGAGCATGATATTATATGGTATCAGACATCCCTTTGGTCAGCTGGAATCAGCTGTCCCAGCTGTGTCTCATCCCAAATTAACATGCACCATGCTCTCTCTCAGGACAGCAAGAGAAACAGAAAAGGCCTTGATGCTGTGCAAGCACTGTCCAGCGATAACTAA